TTTTTTTTTGAAACAGATCAGTTTATTGTCTTTTATAAGCTAATGAAGTTATTTTAAAATACATTTCTTCAGTGGGATTTACTTTTGCTAGTTAGACTTTGAGAAAGCACAGCTTTCATTAGCTGTCCTTAGATAGTTCACCTAGCTTACTTAACGAAAGGCTTTAGGTGTCATTTTATACTGATGGCTTTGTTGGACATTCTATGAGTAATTTGCAGTTTTATAATGAAGTAAGTACTCTAAAAAGTTTAAATAGAATTCTCTTACACTTTATTTTGTTCATTTTGGTTACCTAAATATTTGCATACAATGTCATTGAAAGCTTGGATACCTTGAAATCATCCAGATAGTGTCTTTAAAAAAAATAAATTCCTAATTTTTTCTTTCTTATTTCAGTGTGTAAAGGTTGCCATAAAAGACAAACAAGTGAAATACTTTATACATTACAGTGGTTGGAATAAAAAGTGAGTATTCTTTAAAAACAATTTTTATTTAAAATGAGCAAGATAGCTTTTGTCACTTACTGGCACTAACACGTACTACTTCTGCAGTTTTAATATGGTGCATACTGAAGCAAGGGTGACTCATTTGTTTTACACCAAAACTGTCCTAGAAATTGGGGTTCTCAACTTTTTCATTTAAAGGTACTTTATTCTTAGGAATATTTCTTTGTGTTCTAGTAAAGTTTAGTCAACTGTTCTGGTTGATTGAGTGGTAGGCCGATCACACGTGTATATGTGTATGTTTTCTTTTTTCTGGTACATTTTTATTTTTATTTATTATTTATTTTTTCTACAGTTTTTGGCTAGGGCTGGGCTTGAACCCGCCACCTCCAGCATATGGGGCTGTCGCCCTACTCCTTTGAGCCAGAGGCGCCACCCTACATTTTATATAGTTTGAATTTTTTGCCTTACCACAAACTCAGTTATTTTATATTTATTATTTCAAGCAGCTATGCTCAAAACTAGTTGAATTTTTCTACCTAGAAAAGGGAAAACAATAAAGATTGCCCAATTTGTAATTTACTAATCTGTTTTATCTGTTCTATTCAGTATAAACAAAGTTATTTCATGTGGCTTACTTTCATAGCATATGATTTAACTTCAGTGACAGAACCTAATTTCCTACCACTGAGAAAATTAAAAGATTTTCTTTTCTTTTTTGGTAAGGCGGTGATGTGTTGATCATTTCCCAGGAATGGGTCATTTATAGATGGAACACATTGTAGAATATCTGTCACATGGAGGTTTTTCTCAATAATGAGACTTTCTCCTTTGGGCTCACATTAAATACTTACCTAGCCCTCCCTTTTGATCTCTGTAATTGAATGGCTTGCAATTTTTACTGACAGGTCTTAGTACTTCTTCAGAAGTTGCTTTCTAGTAACTTAAGGCTTTGTGTCACCTAACCCACGTTTTGGTACCTGGTTTATCATGGGAGCACTGCCATATGATAAGTGCTTTGTTGATATAGAAGGTGGTTTTTCTATAAAGTTTATTGGCTCTGTGACTTTGGTCTTACTTCATATATATGCTCCTTTAGCCAAGTGGCCAACCCAGTTAATTTTGTTAGGAAATTTTTTAACATCTCAAATGCTTTTAAGCAGAAAAATATCTTTACCTTTTTTTCCTTTTAGTATAATTGTGGAAAGGTGGAAATGTGTTAATAGTGCATTCTGACAACTTAACGTTTTTTTTTTTAAGTGATAGGGCTTGTATTTTAAATATATATTGAGATATTGGGAAAATAATGGAGAAGATGGCCTTTTAGTCTTCTAAAACTAAACTATAATTTTAAATGTTATTTTAATGTTAATAGTAGATTGATTCTGAGATCCAGGAAATGGAAAAGTTTATCTTGTGACTCCTAGTGTATTGCATATCTTCCCCTTAGCTCAGCGGCTAGGGCATCAGCCACATAACCCCAGAGCTGGAGGATTTGAATCCAGCCTGGGCCTGCCAAAGAACTTTATAACTACAACCAAAAAATAGCCAGGCGTTGTGGCAGGCACCTGTGGTTTCAGCTACTTGGGAGGCTGAGGCAGGAGAATCACTTAAGCCCAAGAGTTTGAGGTTGCTGTGAGCTGTGATGCCACAGTACTCTACTGAGGGTGACATAGTGAAACTCTGTCTCTAAATAAATAAATCAATGGTGAATTGCATTTTAGTCTTTCTTAGACAATTTGTATTACCTATTGATATTCTACCAATATCCAGGCAAAGTTGAGAGTGTTGAGTTATGAGAATCTCAATTCTCTACAAGAAGTAGGGTATCTTTCTTATGCCTATTGAATGAGAAAGTCCATAGAGGATATCAAAGAAAAATGGAAATCAAATTCATGGGGGTAGGCCTGCTCTTGAACTTTTACATAATTGTTTTAGAATTTTACCCTTAATTGATATGAATATAGCTTTTGTGCTTAACTCTTTCATATGTAATAGGTATCTTATATAAAGTTAGATATAGAGATAATGTATAGCTCAGAGACCAGATTTAAAGTGGCATTTTAGCACCAGTACCATGATCATCTTTTCTGTTTTCACTATGTCAAAAAATAATTGATATTTTTCCTTTTGGTGTATTTTAGTCCTGTAACAATAAGCTGTAGGCTTGTAAAGATCTTGTTTTTTGTTCTCAGCTAATTTAATGTTATATATTAATTACACATTGGGAAAATTTTTAAAAGGCACCAAATATTAGGTTTATTACTGTTTTTGTAGATAACATTGAGGAATATTAATATATTAAAAATGTCTTTTT